CCCCAAAACCCCAAAACCCCAAAACCCCGTAAAACCTATTAATAATTGATGAGATAATATAATTTTATATTATGAATTCCAAACATTCCAACTCAAAACAGGATGAGAAAGATACTGGAAAAAGCAGAGAAAACTATATTCCAAATTTTTCTCCTATATTTAAGGCTTGGGGCTACCTATCTTCAGATAAGATTAACAATTCATATTTTCAGAACTATTCAAATGATAATTGGGAAGGTTGAGTTTACTCGAATAATAACCAATCTTCTAAGCCCGAATACAGTTCTTCTCGCATTATAGACAAATTATTAGACTTTCTTAACCTATCAGACTTTTACTCAAGCTTCACAACACAAACTACAGATCAAAAGCTCTCAAAAATAATACAATCCAAGCACAAAAAACACCTAGATTTCACCTGGAAGATCCTTTACATACTCCAACACTTATAATCGCCTTAATGATCTGCCTGCAAATCTTCACTGAAGACCTATCAAAGCCAGGGTTTCTGGCTCAGCTAATAAACTCAACTTTATTCATGGTACTGGTGAACATCATAAAGTTAGTTAAGAAGAGAAGGCCTAATATTGTGCACTACTTCTTGCCCTGTTTGCTGTTTTTGGTAGGGTCTTCTATAGCTATTGAGAACTGACTTTTTGAAGAGTTTAGGTTTTATGAACTTTGGATTATTTGGTATATGGAAGCACTTGCGTTTTCAGCTACGTTTTTTGCTTATTCTGAGATAACAAAACCTTTGGGTAATAAATCAATTAATTAAGAGCAACGTTCTGATTCAGACCAGCCTTGGTAATAGTAGCATTCATTCTAGTACAGTTTGAATTTCTAGTGCTACTATACTTTAGTTTTGGCGAAATTAATGACTTCGTCCTTATTGTTATCATCTACGGATGCATTTGATTCGTAGCTATCACTGTTGTTATTTCTTATTTATTTAAGAGTCAGATCGAACTTGTGTACCAAAACAAAGAGCTCTCTGAGACTATACGATATATATTGCAGGTGCTTCCTGAAGGTGTTCTAATAAACACCTTCAAAGAAGATAAGACAAGAGTAGGATATGCAAATGATACTATTCAAAAACAACTTTTTGAAAATCAACCTCTTGAAAATACTTTTACTAATAGCCTCAAACTCAGGTGTAGAGAATCTTCTGATGATCAAATCAAAATAGGAGATTTCGAATCTTCCAAAAGAGCCATCAAAATTGGGAAGCTTCTCAATCAAGTTCAACAACAAATCGACAAAAAGCAAGCTCCAGTCACTAAGCAAATCCTGATCGAAGCTGCTGACAATGAGCACGTTAATCTGCAGTCCAATTTCGTATACACACTAAAGTCTATTCCTGTGAATTGGGACAAATGAAGCAAAGCCTACTTACACGTAGTCTCAGATATAACTTTGTTGAAGGAGCTAGAGAGGCAGAAGGCGACTAACCAGTGCATGAAAATCATGTTCTCTAGTGTTTCGCATGAATTCAGGACCCCACTAAACTCCTTTGCCAACATCTTGACTTTGATCACAATGAAGCTTACTGCAATAAATGACTGAATCGCAGAGTTGACAATTCCCAGGAAGAACCATGAAGAGCTTGAAGAGTGATTTAGTAGCTGAGATAAATATTTAAAAATGGGCAATATTTCTGCCAAAATTCTTGAAAATCTAGTAGAAGATGTACTAGATTTTGCTAAAATTGAAGGTGGAGTCTTTAGTCTCGATATTGAAGCATTTTTGGTACAGGACTTAATTGACGAGATTTCTTATATATTTCAAATTCAGTGAGAAAATAGAGGTATTTTATTTGAAATTATTTGAGATGAAAGAACAAGAAATATCAATTTCATTAGTGACATGTCAAGGATCAGACAAATCCTGATGAATTTAGTATCGAACTCCCTCAAATTTACGTCTAAAGGATTCATCACAATTTCGATTACTTCATTTAAAAGCCTTGATAACAACAGGAATTTCTGTCTTAAGTTCAGAGTCAGTGACACAGGAGTGGGGATCTCTGCTGAAGACCAGAAGAACCTATTCAAACTCTTTGGCACAGTAGACAAACACAAGCAAACCTTAAATTTAAAAGGAACAGGCCTTGGACTCACAATCACACAGAAGCTTGTGAGCTTGCTTGGAGGCAACGTTATGTTAGAGTCAGAAGAACATGTTGGCACAACGATTGAATTTTCAGTAAAAGAGGCTGCCAGAATTCACCAAGGTAGGCTTTTAGACAGTTTTTAGATTCAGATGAGATTTTTATGCCAAAATATAGGCTTAGAAGAAAGCAAAGGAGAGATTGAGAGATCGAGAAATATAGTATCTGGGAGAAATCATTGGTTGCCAAGAAAACTATCTTTAGGATCAATGTATAACTCCCAAACCAGTGAAAAAGAGTTTGTTCATAATCTTGGATACGTCCAAGATGTTCCTTCTATGGAAATAAATCATTTTATATTTAGCAGCAGGTCAATGATGTAGGAATAATTTCATATTTACTTAATTGACAATATATTTCATATAATGAATTCAAGAATAAAACGAGATATCGGGGTTTTGGGGTTTTGGGGTTTTGGGGTTTTGGGG